GTATCTGAGTCACTTGACTCCAGAGGCATGCCACAGAAGCATCCCAGACTTAGGTACAAGGCATGCAATAGCCAAGTGGCCCAACACCCTCCTAAAAGCAGCTTGACATATTTTTCTCCTCACCAAAGTGCATGCCATGGGTGTAGTTTTGCTGTGTGTGGTATTATATGTGTATAGAGTTACGTGTTTAAATATAATTTGTGATCACACCAGTCATGAGCAGGGGTTGAAGAAGCAACGAATATAAATATATACTGGGTTTTGCCTAATGCTTTTTAAGACTGTGGCAAGGTGGTCATTCCCTAGTCCCCAGCCTCTCCAACTTCTCCCTGACCAGCCACCACTTAATATCATTTCAGTCAATAGCATGGACTGTGAAGTCTCCATTCATGACACAAATTGGCTGTGTTCTTTGAGAGTCCAAGCTAAAGTAAAAGATGAGGTGTGTAGCTATTTCCGACCAGGCACAGAGCATATGATTCATTCGAGAAAATTCTCATATGGCTGTTTTGTAAAATGAAGTATAATTTGCCCAATGTCCACAAACCAACGCTTTATTAGTATTATTTAACTTACTTTTCCCTACAAGCAGGAGTGAAAAAAAAAATCAATACTAACCTTTCTAAAAACAACTTGGCAACATGAACCAGGTCTGAAGAATGTCTAACTTGGTACAGAATAAGGCTATAGGCAAGAATTGAGAACACAGACAAAGATTGAGATGTGAAAACACTTTAAGTATATTTATAACAGAGAAAATCTGAGGGAGACAAAAAAACCTAAGTATCCCACAAGAAGAAGAGAGTTAATAACTTGTGGTAACTCCATATGAAAAAAGGTTTTGTGGTCATTAAAAAGCATATGTCACTTGGGTGGCACTCCTGTAATCCCAGCTACTCAGGAGGGCAGAGGTAGTAGGATCGTGAGTCTGAGGCCAGCCTGAGCAATTTAGTGAGATCCTGTCTTGAAAAATAAAAAGACTGAGGATGTAGGTCAGTGGTGAAGTGTTCCTGGTTCGATCCCCTGTGACACACACATGCTAAAAAAAAGGCATAGGTTAAAAAAAATGAGAAGCAGTCATGATTAAAAATTTAGTATCAAGCTATATATATGTGTGCATGTACAAACATACTTGTATACATACTTATATACACACATACATATTACAATTTTGATAATATAATGTGTATGTACAGAATAAACACTGAAAGAAAATATAGGGAATTATATGTGCATTTATCACTATATGGTGTTGATTCTATTTCCATCTTTATATTACTCTGTATTTTCCACCATGTTTACAATAATCTTGCCTTAGTTTTAGAATCATAAAAAAAATAATAATACAAATTAAGGAAACAGGCTCATACAAAGCACTGGCACAATGGGAAATTTGGGGCTAAAAGTAGCTCTCTGTCATGTAATTTTCAAAAGAGCAATCCCTATATCAATCCATCCTAGAACCCAAATGCCCTCAACAGTAAGAAAACACCCTAACAGGCTCTAGAAGCTTTGACATAAACTACTCAAGGTCTTCTTGCATGCAAAGGACACATTCTCTATAGACAAAGGTTAATAGAGTGGCTCTGTAAGTAATCATCTGCTGTCCCCATAAAACATGACCTTGCAAGTCAATGTCAGTGGAATCTGAAAGAGGGACAGAGGGCCCCAGGTAACATAATGCGCTCAGAACATGTCTGTGGCTCTGACAGGTGCAAACAACTCGGCTCGTCTAAATATAAATTGACTTGGGCCGTTTGGAAACAGTTTTTCCCACTTACTATTCTGATCAAGCAAAAGAATGTTCTCTTCTTTAGTTCTGCCTCCTAATGCTAGTTATTTTTATTTAGATTCATTTTGCCATCATTTTCATTCAAAGAGAATATTAGAACTCAAAAAAAAAAAAAAAGAAAAAGTCTCTCCCAAAATCTTGGATGAGATTTTTGAAATGTTTTTGAAATGCATGAAGTGGAGAAGGAGATAAAACATTAATGATATTTCTTAAAACTTTCTGGATGAGCAGTAAGCTCATGTTAATACAAAAATAAAGGAACACAGTCGAATATTTGATCCAGGAAGGAGATCTTCTTTTGAATCAGCAGAGTGGAAGTTCTTGTGGAAACATAGACATCTGCATCTTTGCCAATTCCTGCCTTGCTCTCTCCAATCACCCCTCAACTCTACCTCTTTCCTCAGGAGCCTGCTCAATGCTCCCTTCTCAGGAGGCCTTCTCTCACTTCCCCCAATCCTACTGCCACACACAGCAAGGTTTCCTCTTAGCTCTCCAAACACACACTTACCTTCCATACATTTAGTCCACATCATTATTTGTTAGCCTATGAGTTTCTTGATAGGTGACATTATATTTCACTCATTTTTTTTTTCATTTTTAGCATCCTGGCTTATGGCAGCTACTCAATAATGTGTTGGTGAATGAGTGGAGGAATGAATAAAGAAGAGAGGGCTGAAGCAGTCAGATGAGCCTGCAGTTCCAGCAAGGAAGAAGAAAGATGAGAATACTTCCAGTCTTGAAAAAGAACAGCCTATGGAAGAATAATAACTAGCGATGCTTAGCCACTGCTAAGTTGTTTTATTTTTAGTTGTAGATGGGCACAATACCTTAATTTTATTTCTTTCTTTTTATGTGGGGCTGAGGATCAACCCAGTGCCTCACACATGCCAGGCAAGCACTCTACCACTGAGCCACAACCCCTGCCCCAAGTTTTTTGGTTTATTTTTTCAGAGGGGGTGGGTTTTAATAAAAGAAGTAAGACTAAAATCGAAGGCCAGATAGCACAAAAGAACCTTGCTGTACATTGACTTCGGCATTGAAATTTTCCATTTTCACTTTCCCTCTTTGTTACCATTCAATGAGAGGATGGGGCAAGAGTGTATCTAAAGGCTGGTCCAGCTCTCTGGGTTGGGGGCTGTGGGTTTGCAGTCTTCTGCTGGAACAACCCTCCTAAGCTTGCATCCCAGCTCTACTCTGGTCGCAAGAAAAGACTGTTCTTTTCCGACTCATAGAGGCCACATTCCTACCTACCAAGACCGTGGTATGCCACAACTAAATTTAGCCCCACTCTCCAGGTCTGAAATAGTCATTTTAAACCACACGGGAAATTACTACCCATGATTTCCTAGATCTACGTAAGAAAGATGCTTCCAAACCCTAATGCGATGAAATTGGATTTGCTTGTCCCAACTCCTGGCCTGTGTTTGGTTCAGATCATCCTTTGCCTGCATACATTTTGCAATACCTGTTGGCTCTTCACCTTTGACCACTCCTTTAGCATGCTCACTACACTTAAGAAACATAGCCAGCACTTGGCTTAATAATTTTCAACCTACTCATCAGCTTACTAAAGGGGGTTTAGAGTTGGCAAAGGTAAAATGCCAACCGCCTACCAATAGCGGATTTCACAGGTGGTCCTTTATCAGATCTGCCCTTGGAAGAGAAGAAAGATGACTAATAATCATCCTCTGCATTTCAGCCAGGGAAACTGTGGCTAGGGAAGCTCTCTGTAGAGCTGAAGGCTTGTATTAGATTATTGCAACCAATTAATGTTTTAGTCTTGTACATCTAGTAAGATTAGAAGCTAGTCCTATATCTCTTGAAGTTGAAATTCTCAAACACCATATTCAACATAATGAATTTTTATAATACTAAATATATCCAATATGAAGGTTGGAAAATATTCCTTTTCTGCATTTTTATTGTTATCACTGTTAAGAGTACTTAAGAAAAAAAATGTAGGGTTTATTTATGTCTTTACTTTGCTCTTTGAAAAGTTGGCCATCCTATGTCCATTGACAACATTTAAAGTCTTTCTGGTCATTAAAACTAGAGATCTGAGAGTCTTCCCTCCCCCCAAAAAAGTGGCTAGTTCATTTCATTTGATACAAAAATTGATCAACATGGGAAGAAGAGTTTCTGGTCAAATTCTACTAAGGTCGTCAGTCTCTATCAATCTCCAAGATCATCAAAAAGAACAGAGAGCTCCTGTACATTCACGTAGTTATTATAATAAATTTGAGTCAGGTAATCGCCTCTAAAATACACCTGAGAAACCCTCAACAGTATCTGGAGATTTGCGTGTTTGGGATGAGCTGTGGTCCTCTGGCCCCTTACCAACTTTATAAAAAGTATTTTCTTGTATTTTTGTCATAGTAACACCTGGACGTGCGTTATAAACCCAAAGCAATAATTGTTTTCTGTACACTTTGGAAGGAGCTGCGGATATGATTCCTGAAGGACTCCCTATAAAACCTAAGGAAACACAATCGATGTTGTCTCAGGACCCCTCAGGGCTCCGCAAGTAGTGAGGGAGGGAACTGTCACCTTGAACCCAGGGCTGGAGTATCATGAAAGCGGGATCCGCAGGGAAGTGGGACAACAACTGCAATTGCCTTCTAGGCTCGCGGGTGCCTTGGCCTGGTTAGGATTTTGCCTAGGAAGAAGCAACTTTGCACGCTGCCAGCTTCCAGCCGGCTCACTCTAACGGAACGTCCTTTTGTAGGAAATCGCCTCTGCCCCCTGGCGCCGGTCCTCTGGCTCCTGATGAAAAGGTGACCCTCCGCCCCTTTCTCCAACCCTGGACGCCAGCCCTATCACTCCCGGCACGCTGCCGATCACGTGGAGGAGCAGTGCTTTCCCGGATCCTGACCATTGGTCATGGGCTCCCGTCTCGGGCGCACCCATTGGCTGTGGGGGGCGTTCACGTGCAAGAGGATCTGGGATGGGACCCAAAGTGGGAGAGGTGGGCGGAAAGTTAAAGGGCGCCGAGCAGCAGCAGGAGCCTGAGTCCGGGGTGACGCGCTGAAAGGAGGAGGCGAGCAGGGTGCTCTCGCGCGCGGATTGAGGCAGCTGCTCGCCCAGGGCGCAAACCTGAACGCCAGCCCCTGCTCCCACCGTCGCGGTCGCTGTGCGTGTCATCCTCACGCGTTTGGTGTAGCGGGCTGGCGCTTTTGCCCTCAGGACTTATGAGCTGTACCCGGTATGTACCTCCTGAAGCCTCGAGTCCGAGGTGCAGTAACAAGAAACCCGTGGCGAGGGGTGCGCAGGGCAGCTCCCCTTTGTTTCTTGCCTCCCACACTTGACCCATCCGACTAGCAGCTGCACACCGGTGCTGGAACGCACTAGATGGGCTCGAGTAAGCTGTGGCTTCCACGTGGAGATGGCAAACCAGGGACCAGAGCTGGGATAGAGCGCGGCTGGACTCACGTGTACCCCCCAAACTCCGGAACTTTGGGACCCGGCCGCGAGGGGTGGCGAGGGACTGAGCTTGAGACGACAGATACCTTTGTGCCCTGTTGTCCCGGTTTCGAAGGTGGCACAAGTTTCCAGCTTGGTACCTGATACTTATGGGGGACGTCTCAGCAATTGGGCAGTGGGTTTTGGAGCACGAGCCTTCCCCACCCCCACCCCAAATCTCTCGATCTCTCTCCTTCTCTCTGCCTCAGTTTCTCAGTAAAAGAAGCTGTGTAAGAAAGCAGCTTCCAGGCCCGAAGGTTATAAAGTTGCATTTACTTGTCCCAACTTCTTTCCCAGTTTGGTTCAAATCCCTTGGCTGCACAGGAGAATGGAAACTCGGGCAACGCGAAGTAGAGTGACCCACAGTCCCGGGACGGGGGCCATCCGGGTTGGTGGGGGCGAGACGGCCCGCGCGGGGGTGCTAGTGCCGCGCAGCTCCAGCCCCGGGTTACCCCGCGGCCCCGCCCCTATCTGGTGGGAAACTTGGGCTCCTCCTCCTGGTCGTCTTCATCTCCGGGAACCCAGCCCAGGCCCGGCCTCCCGGACAAACACCAAAAGCTCACGTAGTCGGTGGCAGCGGCCTCCCTGCCACCTCCCCCTAGTGTCTCCGATGCGGCCTGCGAGTTGCCGAGGGGGCTTCTCCGCCGCCGGAAAGGTGAGTGCCACTGGGAGGTGGGGGGCGGGGTGCAGCCTGGGCCAGCTGGAGCTAGCCAGGCAGGGTCAGGCACAGTGGGCAGAGTGGCAGGTGGGATCCTCCACCCTCGACACACCGCCCTGCCCCCAGCGCCCTGTGCTACCACCCTTTGGAACCCAGACAAAGGGGTGTGGAAGGGGCAGTAACTGCAAAAGAGGCGGCGTGAGGGCCCAGAACAAATACGAGAGGATTTGTGAACTTGAAAAGTTGCTGAAAGCCCCTGGAGCCTGTGGTCTGTGTGGCCAGCCGCTTTGGGAAACACAGCATCCTTGGGAGACCCAGGGTTCAGCAGAAGAAAGTTAGGCCTAGGGACTAGAGAAGAGGAAATGGCCACTTGGCAGAGCTGTCTAGAAGCCAAGACTAAAATGAGGACAGCTGGAGGACTCACCTCACAAGTAGAGTTCAGGTACTTAGGGGGAAAGTGAGTGGCAGGAGAAGAGCCATCAGGCACTGTTGGCATCAATGTCAGAGCTAGAAAGGACCTCACAGGAGAATCCTTAAGCCCAGAGAAATTGAGTGAGTAGCCCCAGCAGGCACAGCTAGGTAGAAGCTATTGTTAGAACAGTGCTCTGCTTCCCCTTGGGAAGTTTTTAATGGTAGGATCTATACCATTTTAATTCACTCTTTCCTTGATATGCAACCGTATTCACAAATATTTATCTACAAGATGCTTTAGATGATGGCAACAGGATCAAGGGCTACAAGTAGCTTTTAAGACTCTAGATAAGGTCTCCATGGCCTAATTACAAAAGGGAGAAGGTGTTATCATTATACTGTCTGAGCCAAATCCTTTAGGAAGGAATAAAGAATTGCTGAAGGACATGGAGGTTGGTGGCCATGTCTTAGATCCCAATTGTGAATGCTTACCTAATATAGTTTGGCAGTTTTCACTGTTGCTGGTGGGTTGTTTGAGTGTCTGATTTTTCCTCTTTTCTTATGAGAAAGGGTGGGAGAGATAAGTATGAATATATAGAGGGAAAATGTCCCCAACACCAAACAAAAACAAAAACCTTCCTATAAAGGTACAGCCAGAAAGTCAGTAGCTCACCTGCATGAAACTGGGAAGGTTGTGGGGTTTTTGTCTGTACTGGCCTATGGTTTTCACAAGAAAAATCACCGTGACATTTAACACTGGCCAGCTGCCTTAGGAAAGTGTGTTATTTGTCACTAGTGGAACAGAAAACGCATTTCTGCAAAACTGTCTATTTGGTCTGTGATTTTCATGAGTGTTTGAGTTTGTGCAGTTTGGGCCTGGGACACTGAAATCCACTTTGGGGCATGGCCTAGTCCCTTATCAGGCACAACTGAGCTCTGAGGCATCCATGTTGATGGGCCTGGGGAACAGCTACTCATGCTCCCTTGTCCCTGCCCTGCATCTGGTATCCAGATCCCATGTCATTCTTCTGGTTCAAATGTGTGTTCATATCTTCTGGTTCTGGATTTTCTTCCCTGACCAGCCTTGACAACTTAACCTGGGAGAGGGAAATGACCAGGGCAGTGTATGTCAGGAGACGAGGCGTGGCACATACTGCCTGGGAATTGATCACTTTTGTATTATTTGCAAATGAAGCACCTGTCCAGGTGCCTTCCTTTCAGGTACTTTACCAAGTGTTCCTTTATATGCTTGGTTGCTCCAAGCACTACTTTTGGCTAATAGTCATCCCTGCCACAGTCTATTGGGGGAGATTCTGAGCAGGTGGTCAGGAAAACCTACCCTAAACCAGCACCCTGCTGCACCAATTCTAGGAGAATGGTCTGGCTAATAAAGACTTGAATCTACGATGAGGACAGGAGAAGTGGCTGACAGTCACATTTTACCCTGAATTGAGGCCATGAGGGTGAATGACCGCACCTGAAGTTATGGTGACATGCAGAAAAAGTGAAGGGATTCTGGGCCACAGTTGCTTGTGCAATTCTCTGGGGCAGTAGTGTGGGTGGCAACTCTTGTTCCACCATAACCTAACTTTTGCCTTTCTTGGAAGAATATTTCAGAAACAATTTGACTCTTGAAAATGCTAGTATAATTGTTGAATTTGTACTGACTCCGACTAGAACCTTCCCTCCCCCCCCCCATCCAGTTTAACTTGTTCTTACAGCTTGGGAATAAAAGGGGTTGGGGGACTGGTGGCATAAATTTACACTACTGGGACCAAACAGCTTAACTTTACTGAAGTCTCCAACAAAGTCTCTTTAACCTGTGAGATCATAACTTAGGAGAACATGTAGATTCTTTAATTGACCCCTTGGCTTTGCATTTCTGTTTCCACAGTATCTTGAAAGATTCTCAACCTTTTTCTAATGAGCTTTAAAGACAGGTGGGAAAGCCCAGCTAAGTTTGGTTTGCAGGCTTGTTGAAAGTGCATAGAGAACTTACAGTTGACCTTGGGCTGACTCAGGTCAGGAGGAAGCAGTGGGCCCAGGAGGAACCCCTCCTCCTCAGTTCATACTCAAGATTTCAAGGTGGGCAGAGGGAGAAGCCTCTGGGATGCAAGGCCAGGGCTGTTGTGTGGTTGGTTGGTTTTAATTCATATTTGAAACAAACAAAAAAATCCCTGTGCTAAAGTTAGAACTGAAGGTTTAATTCTAATACACTCTAACATATAATTTTATATGTGTGTGTGTGTGTGTGTGTTGTAGATGTACACAGTTAATTTATTTATTTATTTTTGTGGTGCTGAGGATCGAACCCAGTGCCTCACACATGCTAGGCAAGCTCTCTACCACTGAGCTACAACTCCAGCCCCTCTAACATATAATTTTTCAATGTGCAGGAATAACTAACATTCAAGTGATATATAAGTGTAGGGTCTTAAAAAAATTAGTTAACCCAATGATCCTCTGTAAAGCCATCTTGTCCCATTCAATCAGAACTTCCCTTTCCAGAACAATTACATGGGTATAAGAAGAGATAATAGCAAGCAAAATTGCTTTGAAAAACTTCACTGGATTGACTTTGGTAGAGGTGAAACAGTAAGATAAATATCCTTTAAAATGAATGTTGTGTAAAGCATGCCTTACATACAACCATGAATTATTGTTTTGTCTCTGAATTTGTGTTTCTCTAACTGGTCATGGCAAAGTGCTTTCTGCATCCTAGGAAAGTGTTGTACTTAATAAAAAAAAAAATGGGATCACACCTGAAATACATTTGTGTTTTCTCAACTTTTGCATTATATATTAGGTTCATCAAAATCAAAATTAAAAAAGAGAGCTTATTTATTGGGTCACATCAGTGGTGCCCAACTCTTGTCAAAAGATGAACAACATTTTGTCTGTCACTTCTCAGGAGCAGCAGTGCAGCCTGAGAATAGGCACTCCTGCACTGCCACATAACTACACCTTTGCTATGAGAAAGGGAGGTTTATTGGGGAACTAATCCAGTGTTCTGCAATTTTGACTTGAGATTTTAATCCTGGTTTATCATTATATTCTTCACATTAGCCCAGAGTAATCAAAATGAAAAAAGTACTCACATTAGTGAGGCAATAGTATCAGGATGGGGTTTTAGCAAATTTAAGATATTTTTTTCCCAAGATTCACTTATTTTCTGATTGTAGAAAGCAACATTATTTTAGGAGATGAAAGAAAATACAAAGCAGGAAAACATTTCCTGAAATCCTGAACGTGGGTATTCTGATAGTTTTAACTGTACAGTAAGTACCTCTTTATCTACAAGAGGTAGACTTCAAGACCTACCCGCCCCTCAACCCAATGAATGCCTGAAACCTCAAGTAGTTCCAAACCTTCTGCATGGTGTTTCCCCCCTTGTATCCTGTGTATTGCCATATAGTACCAAAGTTAATCTGGTCCTTCCATGTTACATATTCCGGTGCTTCCTTTGCATCACTACTCTTGGGGACTTGATTAAGTAAAATATGGGCAATTTGAGCACAAGCTGTGATACAACATCAGTCTATCTGATACCTGAGCAGCTACTTAGTCACAATGGACAGGAAGTGTATATATGATGGCTAGTCTGGAGAAGGGGATGATTCATATCCTAGGAACAAGTGGGACCAAGTTGGGGCGGGAGATTTCTTCATACTCTGCACAATGGGGTACAGTTGAAAATTTACGACTTGTGTATTTCTGGAATTTTTTCATTTTAACGTTTCTGGACTGTGGTTGAACACTGGAAGTTGAAATCATAGTAATGGGGGAACTACTCTATTTTTAATCTTTTTCAATATATTTATGTAATATTGCTCCTCACCAGTCTGGTCTTTATATACAACTTTATTTTCTTCATCTTTAATATTACAATATGTTGTAAAATTTTCCCATGTCATTTAAATATTTTTCATATGATGATTTTAATGATGTAAAATTAAATAATATAAATGTGTTACAGTTGATTTAACTAGGTACCTATTAGTGACTCCTCTTTTCCCCCTACAAGGTTGCACTAAAATTTTATTATATTAACTTCCATATGTTTTTTAATTACTTACATAGGATAAATATCTGTATGTGATATTGAAACAAAAATAATAATATTTAGAAAGGTTGTACCAATTTAGATTAATAAAAGGATTTATATTATCTTTTAACATTCTTTCCTGATTCAGTAGAAAAAAAACATAGATTGTTTCTAACCTAAATTTTTAAATTAAACTTGGACATTTTGTATATTTTGATGGCCAATTTAAATTTTCTTTCAAGAATTTTCTATTCATACTTCCTCCTCATTTTTCTAGGTATAATATTTAACTTTGAAAAAATAATTAACTTTGTTCTTGCTCTATAAGAACTCTTTATATATTAAGGTATTAACTCTGCTGCAGCTCTTATTGTAAAATATTTTCTGAGTTTTTCTTTGTAATATTTTCAGTTTTATTTATTTTTTATTTATACAAAGATAATTTTTATGAAGCCAAATTTAATCTCTTTTTGCGTGATTCTATTTGCTTTTTATTTTTATAGCAGCTAGTTTAACTTATATAAAAGGCAAACTATTCATCTACATGAGAGGTTTAAACATAATAAATTGCTGAATTTTTTAAAAAACATGCTAGAATATTAATGGTATACCAAATATACCATTATACATATGATGTTTAAAGTAAACAAATGTGCATCCGTCTTCACCATTGAATCCTAGTATCTAGCATAATACCTGGCATGTAGTAACATGAAATCAATATTTGTATTCTTGAAAATGATTTCTTTCTTGGACTAAAACAATATTTATGATTAAAACCACAATGTTTCCTCACTTATATGATAATGGTTATTGTCAAAAATGTGAAGGATAACAGTATGGAAGAGGATATGGAAAAAGGGAACCCTCGTACACTATTGGTGGAAATGTAAATCAGTACCAGCATTACAGAACACAGTGTGGAGAGTCCTCCAAAAATTAAAAATTAACATATGACCCAACGATCCCACTACATACAGGGCACATATTCAAAGGGTAGCCACACTCACGGGCTCATTGTGACATCATTCACAATAGTGAGCTATGGAGTCAACTTCAGGATCTGCTAATAGATGAATGGGTAAAGGAAATGTGGCATATTTGCACAATGGAATACTGTTTGGTCATAGAAAAGAATGAAATCTTGTCATTTGCAGCAATAAGGATAAGCCTGGGAACATTGTGTTAAAAGTACAGTAAGCTGGGTGCAGAAAGACAAATACTGCATATTCTCATTAACCCGTGGATTCTAAAAAAGTTGAACACCTTGAAGCAGAATGAAATGGTTATTGTCAAAAATGTGAAGGATAACAGTATGGAAGGACACAAAATTTTAATTTGGTAGGAGGAGAAGATTCAAGAGTTCTGCTGTACCTCATGGTGGCTATAGTTAACAATATATTGTATACTTGAAAACGGCTAAGAAAATAGATTTAAGTGTTCTTACCACACATACACACAAAATAAGTATGTGAGGCAGTGCATATGCCAAATACATCCATTAGCCAGTCCACAGTGTGTTCATTTGTCAAAATATACTAATAAAAATAAATTTAATCTATATTTTTAAGATAAAATAAAAATGAAAAAAAATATAATATTGGAAGCCATAAATATATATATAGCTTTTACTTATCAGTTAATAATAAGTAGCAATATTTACCAAAGTGTGTGCCTCAGGAGAGCTGTTTGCCGAGTACACTCCACCAAAAAAGGGATTCTTTAGTTAAGTAAGTTTGAGAAATTCTGCTGAGGGCCCTTTTCTTTATCCTTTATGGTGCATTAGCCTATCCTGACAGGAAAACCTGTGAATTTAGTTTTAAAAATCCCAGCAGCTTCCGAGGCTCAGGCAGGAGGATCTCGAGTTCAAAGCCAGCCTCAGCAAAAGTGAGGCGCTAAGCAACTCAGTGAGATCCTGTCTCAAAATCAAATAAACAATAGGGCTGGGCTGTGGCTCAGTGGTCCAGTGTCCCTGAATTCAATCCCCAGTACAAAAAAAAAGAAACTAGTGGGTTCTATATTTTTGGTTTTAATTTCAGACCCCCACCCCACCCCACCCACACATACATAATCTTCCCCTGAGACGCATGTCCTATGAGGCCACACTGGAGTTGTCTTGCACAGTGGCATGCCCAGTTCTGCTGGAATCAGGTGTTGGAACTTCTATCTGATCTCGTTGCTGTTTTCTCTCCTCCCCCTCCTGCCAGGGTTCTGACCTATCCATCTAGCCCCATGATGGCTGTGGACATAGAGTACAGATACAACTGCATGGCCCCATCCTTGCGCCGGGAGCGGTTTGCCTTCAAGATCTCCCCCAAGCCCAGCAAGCCGCTGAGGCCTTGCATTCAGCTGGGCAGCCGGAACGAAGCCAGCGGGCTGGTGGCCCCCACGGTGCAGGAGAAAAAGGTGAAAAAGCGGGTGTCCTTCGCAGACAACCAAGGACTGGCCCTCACAATGGTCAAAGTGTTCTCGGAATTTGATGACCCGTTAGATATTCCCTTTAACATCACCGAGCTCCTAGACAACATTGTGAGTCTGACGACAGCAGAGAGCGAGAGCTTTGTTCTGGATTTTTCACAGCCTTCTGCAGATTACTTGGACTTTAGAAATCGACTTCAGGCCAACCATGTCTGCCTCGAAAACTGTGTGCTGAAGGACAAAGCCATCGCGGGCACCGTGAAGGTGCAGAACCTGGCATTCGAGAAGATCGTGAAAATCAGAATGACATTTGACACCTGGAAAAGCTTCACAGACTTTCCCTGTTGGTATGTGAAGGACACTTACGCTGGTTCAGACAGGGACACGTTCTCCTTTGACATTAGCTTACCTGAGAAAATTCAGTCTTATGAAAGAATGGAGTTTGCCGTGTGCTACGAGTGCAACGGCCAGGCCTACTGGGACAGCAACAGGGGCAAAAACTATCGGATCATCCAGGCTGAGTTGAAATCCACTCAGGGAACCGTGGAGCCACAAAATGGACCGGATTTTGGAATCTCCTTAGACCAGTTTGGAAGCCCCCGGTGTTCCTACGGTCTGTTCCCCGAGTGGCCTAGTTACTTAGGATATGAAAAGCTAGGGCCCTACTATTAGTGAGTGCAGTTCACAGGTGTGTGGCCCCGGTCACCATGCAATGGAGAAGCCAAGAGAAGAGCCGAATGAACTGCTATTTGGCCCAGTTTTCACAAAGAATCCTGTCTATTTTTTTTCTTAAACCAGCACATTCAGCCAGGTTTAGATCATAGAACTGGTTTCTCATTCAGAGGGTTCGCTGGGTCCTCTGTGGCACCCAAGGTGGCCACTTGGGAATGAGCAGGATGCTGCCAGAAAGAGTCAGGTAGGAACCAAGCCTGTGGGCAGTGTGGCGAGGCCGGAGGAGCCTGACCTCTTCTCTACACCCAGATGTGGGAAGCAGTCACTCCCATCAGACCCTCTCCATCCACGTCTGGGTTCTCTGCATCCACCAGGTCTTTTCTGCTGCTGCTGTTCATATCTACTCAGAAGCACCCCTTATCTCTGTGCTGTGACACAACAGCCTGACATCCTGACACCCATTTGTAAGAACAGCTACAGAAGAGAGATGGGATCTGCTCATTTTTTGTGCAAATTATGTTTTGCATTTCATTTTTTTCCACCGTTCATCCAGTGTTCAGGAAAAGATAATAAAGGCTTTGTGACAGAGGCAGGAATTTCCTCCTCCCGTCTTCCTGAACCTACATCCATATTCCACAGAGAGCAACACACCATTAAGGAAAGTCACTGGCTCCTGTGTGGGGTCGCAGATTGCAGGGTTATTACAAGGCAGGACAGTCATGAGTTTTAGCTTTTCTTCTTGGCTTTTGGGGGAGCTTTCTAAGCACTTACTTTCACCCCGAGTCACCAGAAGGCTCAATGACAAGATTTGTTTTCACTTGCTTGGCTGCTTTGCAAGCCTCATTCTTTACAGAAGAATTGTAGATCTCATTTCCTGGAGAGTCATCTTTTAGGTTGTGTTTGGGACACTTGATTTGCAGATCCAGCATATCCTCAAAGCCTTCAGAAAATGTTTGGTTTTATTTTGACTGTGATATACAATATCCAGGACACTTTACAAGCACCCAGGGACATTGATTTGGGTGTTCTTATTTATGGTGTGTGAATATGTAAAGGGATAGGGGAGAAAAACCTCACTACATTCTCATATGTTATTTTAAAATGTTTGCCAACTCTGAAATATCAGAGATTAATTATTTTTAACCATATTGGACTAAAGTATGTTGGTTAATGCTATTGTGAGACTCCTGGGACATTCATTGTCAGGTGGATCCTCCAAACCTGTGATTTTTCTTGGGTAGGATTGGTTTTTAAATTAGGAGTATATGAAAAATATGTTTTCATGTATATTTGTAGAAATCTGAATTTTTTTTTCTGGTTTTTGTTTGTTTTTGGAGTTGGGTTAAAAGACTGTTCAATTCTCTTTTTTGCCTGATTTTACGAAAGTGTGCGTCGTTGCCTGGATTCAGGGGCACAGCTGCTGGACTTGCCAAGCAGAGTCTCTAGCTTGAATTTTTCCAGAATAATTAAAAACGACCTCCTGATTTGTGACTTTGTACATTGATATCAGGCAGACATTGAGTGCCTTCGCTCCTAGAGTTTTGTGGTTGGGTTTTTTTGTTTTGTTTTTAGTTTTTCATTTTTGAACTTTAAAATGTTTTGACTTTTTAAATGCTCAGTGATATTTGGTATAATCCTTGTTCCTAAAACTGGCTGTTACTAGTCTTCAATCTAGTGCTTAGTTTTTTTTTTTTATGCCTCTTCCAAGTGGGTTACATTCTGATTACATGATAATATAATTTATGAGGAAGTCACATTTTTATTTTATGGCTGATATTGGGCAGGACTGTGTTTTATCTAAATATACCGTACTACATCAGGTACTCAGATGGTACTTGACATGTTACAAATTTGGTGGTCAGAGCTATTAATAGCATAAGTCTAAGTCAAATGGCAGCAAAACTGATCTCATGTAGGTCATGAATTTTGCTTTGTGTTAATAAGTGTCACGTCCCAGTCTAGGAAGGGAACAAGGCACACTGTTATTTACAGGTCACCAAAATAAGGATCATTCCATGTTCAGAAGAAAGGAGCCTCAACTGGTTCTAGAAGAAAGCCTGTTGGTTTTATGTAATAATGATCCTAAGACATTCCCTTGTCAAATTTGAAATATAATAAATTCAGTGATAAGCATCTCTTCCCTTTTTTCCTCCCAGCCCACCTCAGCTTTTATTTGCTGGGAGGCACTGGCTGCAAGCCCCCAGTCTGCACACCTGGGGTGCTTACCCCACCGCTCAGTTCAGAAGGCAAGTCCTCACCTGCTTTCCAAAGAGCCTTTTTCTCCAATGAAAGAATCTGCTTGCCTGACTTCTGTCATCAGGGCTGTCATTTATTGGGGTAGATGTACCTGAAGAACTGTCTGTGTCCTCATGGCAGTCTTTCTCCATTTGGCCTGGTCTGTCCCATGATTCTCAAATGACCTCAAGAATCTCACTGAGGGACTCTGCCCTGATCTCATAGCTCACCATCAATGGATAAGGCCTTCACACTTCAGAGGGTGATCAGTTCCTTAGATGAAAATTTCACTACAGCCTGACCTTTGGACTTCCCTTCACACAGCTCTTGGTTATGGTGACGAATAGCCCCAGTCGCCTTGTCCTTCCCAGGTTGCCCAGAAGGACCTTGTCCAGAACTGTGTTGTCAGATGCAATACTCTAGCAATGGGGAAACAATGCCATTTTTGTTTCATATTATTTCCCAAAATGCCCTGGGGTGCTTTTGCAAATTGGATGCAGTAAATAAGACGGACTATCTAGATATGTAATAAGCTTTCAGTGTTTCTTGGATGATATGAAGCATGTGAGTGGGTTTAAAAAAAAAATTTCTCATTAGAGGAAAACTGGTTAGAAACGGAGCTGTGCAGTTCCCTAGAAATTAAAACAATCTGAGTCCAGGGTGGAATTACTTTATCTCTGAGATTTAATTTTAATGATTATAAAAAAAATAATAGGTTTTTTTTTATTTAAAGATACACATTTTGAACTGCTTTGTGGATTTCGATCTTTGCATATCCTTTGCTTTTTTTAAAAAAATCATTATGTGTAGACATTTGGATATTAAATGAGCTATGTGTGCTCATTTTTTTTAGAAGTGTCCCGTCTTCCCTCTCATTGGACAATGAATGACAACTTTGATTGTCTTTCATTTGTTTCTGCTTTTAAAATCTCTCCCCTGGATGGAGGCCTGGTAGCTCTTTGTTCTGGGGAAGTCTGTATTTAATTGCCCCTCCTGACATGATGGACTGAAATTGGAGATGAGAAGTTACACACAGTAATGGGATCTTACCTACAATGGGATCTTATAGGGTCACCTGAAGCAATTTGGCAGCTTATCTTAATTTCCTGAAGTGGGATGACACATTGGGGACAGGCTGTTTTTCCTGGTCCTGGTTGTGAAGTATTGCAATGCAAGTCACAAAGCAACCAATCTGAGTTTTTCTGCTGATCCGTTCCTAGAGATTGCTGGGCCTGTGAGGACCTGGAGACTGCAGCTCTGATGTTTCACTTCGACTTCAATGTGAATGTAGAACTGAGGACTTGTCTTCATTTTATGCCTAGAAGTGCCTTCTGGAGAAATTTCTGCATGTTTTTTTAAAAAAAAATAAATATTTTTGTACACAAAGAGGAATTGCACTTTAAAATCACAAGAATGACTTTTTGGTTTTTTTTTTTTTTTTTGGTGTGTGTGTGGTAGAGGAGAGTGGTTGGTTTGTATATATCTCAAAAGCAAAAAAAAAATGTAATAAAAATAGAAAAAAAAAAACAAAACTGAAACTGTCTTCTATTCTTAGAGCCAGAGGAAGGGGAGTAATATTTTAAATCTTTTTTTTTTTTTCACATACCGACCTTAGACGTACAAGCCTATAGGTCATCATCAATGGCTGCGGTAAAGCTGTAAGGCTTGGAAGAAGGGGGTTAGTGCTTTTTAAGTTTTCTTGGGAATAAAGGCTGCTCAGAGCTGAGACGATAGTGCCAGGGAAGAGAGGTGCAGGGGTCTCTGTTATTTGCACCCATGTTTGGTTATCTGAGGTCATAGCTCTTCAACCCTTTCACTTGCTCTTGAACTGCAGCACAGACTGATGTGTTCAGGCAAACCTGGGAAAACTGTCAGTGGCTGTCGTAGCTTTGAACTTCCTGATCAAACTCTGTAGGCAGCAAAATGAATCAGCTGCTGGTGGGCCCTCCCCTCTCCACTGGATAGTGGACATTTTACCTAAGATTTTCAGAGGTATTTTATTTCAAAGTTCAAAAAAATAGGATGGGCGGGAGAGGCAGGTGGTGAGCTGCCTCCACAAGTTTTCACACCCCTCAGCCCTCTGCCACCCTGGGAAAGTCACCTGAAGTCAACAGTGGCTGATGGGGAAAGTCAACAATGGCTCTGCAGAGGACAAGAGAGTATATGAAAGCTGTATTGTCAGCTTCTTCTCATTGGGACAAAATACCTGAGAAAAACAACTTAGAGGAGGAAAGGTGTATTTTCTGAACTATACCTAGTTTCAAAGGTTGCAGTCCATGGTCAGCTGGCTCCATGGCTCTGGGCCGGAGGCCAGGAAGAAGAGCATGGGGTAAAGATGTGGAGGAGGAAAGCTGCTCAGCTCACAGCAGCCAAGAAGTAGAGCGTTTGAGGAAGAGTCAGGAACAAGATGCGCGCTTCCAGGGCACAGTTGCAGTGACCCCTTTGATAGGACCCATGTCACGGTTTCCACCACCTCCCAAGAAGGCCAGCAAATATGAATCCCTTCATGAATTAATCTATCCACGAGGTCAGAGCCCTCATGATCCAATCACTTTCCAAAACCTCCACCTGTGCACATTGCTGCATTAGAGACCAAGACTCCAACACTTTGGGAGATAACTTCATATCTGAACTACAACAAAAGCTTAAGCAGCTCGTGTATAATCTGCAAAAGTGAGCTCCACACATAACTCTCTTTCTCAAAATGTTTAAACACCTCCCTCAAATTGCCTTCACAGAAATGAGAAGGGAGAACACCAGGTTTACAAATGTCTGAGATTTAGTAGTTTTCAAAAGTGTTACCCAACTCTGAAATCATTGCCTAATCTCTCTGAGATGACTCGAGTAAAAGATCAAAAGAAAACACTTTTCTAGAGCAAAGTCCCAAAGTAGCAAATGTCTGGCTCTGAAAGATTCACTGCACATTTGTAGCTCATCCTCCATGCACAAAGCAAGGCTCAGGGTTTTCTGACCAAACCCCTCTGAGAGGTGCACACAAGCCCTCTGGTGGGCCCAGGAGCTACAAGAAGACATTGGGACTCAGGAAACCTGATCTCTGCTGTTAACTCTGTCACTGACCATCCCCCATCCCCTGTCAACTGCCCTCCTGTAGGAGCCTGAGTGTGTTGATCAGGATAAGAGAACCAGGGGCCTGACTACTGCCTGACCAGTTTGAGACTGGCCAATGTAGCCATTTTTAAAAGGCTTCTAAATATAAATGCCTGAGAGAAGTACTGGGAGGTATGTTACACTGTTGGCATTTTATTTATTTTTTTTTTCTGAGAATCACAGGAGGGAACAGCATTTCAGGCAATTGGTTGGACTTCATGAAATCCTCAGTGTTTTGGCAGGAAGGAGCATCAGAAAGAGCTCTCCTTTTATGGAGAAGGAGATGAAGGGCCTGAGTGAGTTTTCTTACTTTGCAGGGCCTATCAAGGGAACAACACAGGTCTCTCTCTCTCTCTCTCTCTCTCTCTCTCTCTCTCTCTCTCTCTCTCTCTCTCTCTCTCTCTCTCTCTCTCTTTTAAGAACTGTCTCCTGGAACCAGAGCCAATTTTTGCAGAACTGAGATTCTGATTCTTTTATGCTGATTCCTTTATGCTGGAGCAGTGTGCTTTCCAGAACAGGAGAAAACAGGATCATCATTATGGTAGAAAATGCACGTCCCTTCCAAGGGCTTCCTCAGCACGTACAGGACCACAGACCATATGCAAGCATGAAAATCAGAAGGAAATGAGGTGGGTCTCTGAGCGCCTGCTTGGACCTCAGGATGTGACCAATGGGAGGAACCACCAGTGGGGCCTGTGGCTACAGGGGCTTCCAGGGGAGGCAGGATTCTTGGCTCACCCATTCCCTTTCCCCAGAATAGAAACCTACTGTGGTGCAGGACAGGGAGGCTTGACCAGACCTCATTCCTCCTCCTCCTCCTCATCATCATCACTATCCCTTGCGGCGGGAGAGAGAAGGGACATCTTGATGTATGCCCTTTGCTGTCTTCATGGGACTCTCTGACAAACATGCTTGAGTTGATGTCATCCCATAAACACTGATGTGGGCCTCTAGTATGGGGCCTGGTGTTAACCCTTGGATTTGACAAAGGTAGAGCAAGGATACAGAACCATCATTATTCTCTGGGACCCATGACATCAGCAAACCATCCAAAATTCTAGACTTCTACTCAAATTTATAAAACCAGACAGTCGGATCAAAGGCCAGCAACTTTCTTCTATAAAGTACTAGATAGTAATTGTTTTAGGTTCTGTAGGCCACCTACAGTCTCGTTTACCTATTTGTTGTTATTTGAAAACTTTATGGTTAATAAAAACTATTCTTCACTCATGGGGCATACAAAAACAAGACAGGGCTGAATTTGCAGGGCTGAATTTGTCCAGTGGGCTGAAGTTTGTCCACCCTGATGAAGAGATATATAGAAAGAGCCTTGAAATTCCACTGGCTGAGGTCTGAAGTCAGGAGGTTAATTTTAGTTGCTTGCTTTTTTTTTTTTTTTTTTTTTTTTGTTTTTTTTTTTTTTTTTTTTTTTTTTTTTTTTTTTTTTTTGGTTGTTGCTTCTTTATTTTGTTTTTTTAAGAAGACCATATAATTTATGGTCTAAACTGAGACAATTTTGAGAATCATAAGGGGGCCATTAACTCTCCTGAAGCACTCTGCATCTTGGGCAAATCCAACTGCATGAACCCTGTCCACCTACTCCCTGGAGGTCCTTTAGGATCTCCCTAGACCTTTGGAGAGTTCACAAACCTCAGCGTGGTCTCTGGAGAAACCGATTCTGGTTGAATAAAGGGTTTTTGTTTTTCTTTCTTTTTTATGAATTATAGCAGAGTGGTGATTTAGTTCTGTGGTTTAGATTTGTTTTTGTTGGTTGGTTCTTCTTGTTTCCTAATTGTAGCACTGATGGCCAAAAGCCCCTGTGGAAATTCTAGTCAATTCACTCCTAATAGTAGCTCCTTTTGGAGGAAAGGGATTATTAATGGTTTGGGCTTATTTCCTACGACCACTTTCCTCCCACCCCAACCCACCCCTGTGCCCAACAACTAGGCCATGGCGAGAGACCCAAGGAAGCTGCTCATTGGGGACAGAGACACTGAGGCTGAATCTAGGAGTGTTCCAAGCCCAAGTCCCCAGGAATACCAACGTGCCCCTGGGAATGTGGCAATTCTGGGGTCTCAGCCCATCTTTCTCTGGGCCAGCAAGTCACAGAGGTTTTAAACACCACAGGAGGCCGAGGAGGTGGGAATTCATCTCCAAAGAGCTCCAAATCTTTGCCCTGGAGACCCCTTCTACTTTCCTGGGACACATGCACTGTGCCTTGTATGTTTTGTCACATCCTGCTGTGGGTATTTGTCATTACCCAGGGCTAAAGATGGCTCTGTTGAGCTGAGAGGACCCCAATGTTAGTGCTGTGGAAACTTGCGGAGGTTTGTATGAAGCCTGGATGTATCAAAGGGGACGTGGTACCTTCCAGGAAGGTTCATTTTTGTAGCATTCACCCCTCTTGGAGAGTTCTTCAAGAGAAATGGGAAACACCACAAAGCACAGCCTACACTTTCTCACTTTGGTGAGTAAGAAACTGGCTAATAGACTCATTTCCAGAGCCACCTGACCAATTGTTGGACATCTTGGTCCTATCTGATTGTGAAATTAGGTGAAATTTCACTGGTGTTATTATTAACACACCATTTTATTAAAATTATTTTATTATTTACCATTAGTCAGTTATCTATTGAAACAAATCCTGAAATCCACCCTCTCCCCCAAATATTTCCATAAGTTCTTTGGAACACAGCTTTGCGTGTCTGCTTGTGCAATCAACTTTTGTTACCTCGAATTCTGCAGGTGCCTTTCTCATTAATCACCTTGAACCCTCACACTTGATATGACTCATATGTTATGTATGTATCAATATGTATTATACAGACACAAACACGCATACAGACTTTGAAAAGAAAAAAAAAAATAAGTGCCAAAGTCCCTCTCACACTGGTCCATGGTTTTGCCCCAGATCTTCTCTAGACGGGACACACTCTGTCTTTACCAGGGCAAAGAGCAACAGTGAACAAGGGAGAGCACTCTTTGGCAGTGGCTGGATCCGGAGGGATTGACACAGGCACTTCTTGTCCTTGGGATTCTCTCAGCATTGATGACCCCATCACAGCTCCATCCCCTTTTCCCCAGACAGGGAACTTGGAGATGCTTAACCCTGGCTGCAACCTCAGCACTGAGCAACAGTGAACTTTTACAAAGTTTTATGAGACAATGAGTCTGTTCTTCCTGCTGGCGGTAAAACCCAAGGCTTCACGCATGCCAGGCAAGGGCTCCACTGCTGGACTACGTACCCTGACCTGATCTGTTCTGTCACTAAATCTAACATGAACCCAATATGCAAAATAGAAAAGGAGCTGAGTGCGGCTTAGTGATAGAT